TTCCTCTTGAGTATACCCCTTTGCTACTAACCTAGCTTTATACCTTTCAATGCTACCATCAGATTTGTATTTGATTTTGTAAACCCATTTACACCCTATGGTGTGTTTATCATTATGTAAATAAGTCAGAACCCAGGTTTGAGTTTTTTCTAAAGCCTGAATTTCTTTATCCATGGCTTCTGGCCATAATGGATCTTTAACAACTTGAGAGTAGTTTTGGGTTCTGATTTTGTAGAAATAGCAGCAGTAAAACATTTATGATTTTCAGAAAGATTAGAAGTAGATAAATACTCAGAGATAGGATATAAAGATGTACCAGAAATGCATTGTAGAAGATTAGAAGAAGAGGCTGGTTGATTAGGGAGATTGTGAGTGTAAATGTCAAGATAGGCAGGGGTTTTTCTTTGTCTATTAGACTTTCTGGGTTGTGGATGAGGAATAGGAGAAGCAGTAGTAGAAATGTTGTGAGGAATAAGAGAAGCAGTAATAGTAGTATTAGGATTAGAAGGAGGTGTGTGTGGAATGTTTATATTGGTAGTAGGGCTGAGGGTAGTTGAGGGTAATGGTGGAATAGTTGTATGATAGGGAATAGTTGTATCATGTGAGAAATTAGGTGGAGAGGGAAACAGTAGTTGGTTTGGAGGGTCAGAAGTTGTTTTGAAAGGAAATATATCTTCATAGAAAATGACATTTCTGGAAATGAGTGTTTGCTTTGTATCAAGGTTGTAAAGTCTATAGCCTTTACAACACAAAGGATACCCAAGCAATATACATTTTGAAGCTCTGGGTTCAAATTTGTTTCTGTTTGCAGTCAGGGTAGAGGCATAACATAGACATCCAATGACTTTTAAGTGATCATAGGAAGGTGGCTTGTTAAAAAGCATTTCAAATGGAGATTTGTTTTGCAAAACAGAAGATGGTGCTCTATTTATAATGTGAGCAGCAGCCAAGATACAGTCAATCCAAAAATGAATTGGTAGAGATGCATGAAACATTAATGCTCTAGCTACTTGAAGCAAGTGTTGGTGTTTTCTTTCTACTCTACCATTTTGCTGTGGAGTTTCCACACAGCTTGTTTGATGTAAAATGCCAGTTTCATTAAAAAAATCATAAAGAAGAAACTCTGTTCCATTATCTGATCTAAGAGTTTTGATTTTTGTATTAAACTGAGTAATGACCATATTGTGAAAATGAAGAATGAACTTCTTAGTATCAGATTTGGAAACTAAAGGATAGATCCAAGTAACTCTACTATAGTCATCAACTATAGTTATAAAGTACTTGAATCCTGAGTGTGAAGTGACAGAAAAGGGACCCCAAAGGTCACAATGAATAAGTTCAAAAGCCATTGTAGATACAGATTGACTTAATTGAAAGGAAAGTTTTTTTGTCTTGCAAAATGGCATACATCACAAGGGTTACAATTGTTACCAGTATGAGAAGATTTACACATAGGTAAAATGTGCAGTTTATTAAAAGAAAGATGGCCTAGTCTATGATGCCACAAGATGGAGTTTGCAGATACAGAGATGGCAGAGACATGGTCAGTGGCATTTACAGGTAAATGAAATGATATATCATAATAAACAGAGACATTATTAATAGTATGGGATGAACTATTAGTAAGAGAGAAATGATAAAGGCCATCAGTGAGCTTAGCAGAACCAATCATTTGATGTGATGTTTGGTCCTGTAAAATGCAAGAAGATGACACAAATTGAACAACACAGTTGGTTGTGGCAGTTAGTTTAGATACAGATATTAAGTTGAAATGAAAGTTAGGAACATATAGAGCATCTTGCAGGATAATATTGTCAGATAATCTAACAGTTCCTATATGAGTAGCAACAATATGATTTCCAGTAGGTAAGTTGACATGTATGTTCACAAGTTTAGGCATGTCAGAGAAAAGAGAAATATCACAAAGCATGTGGTCTGTTGCTCCAGTATCTAAAATCCAAGTTTGTTTTGAGAGTTGTCTAGAAATATTGCAAGCAAAGGTAGGAGACTTACCTTTTGCCTCAGGATATGTAGTAGCAACCATGGGAGCAACAGAATTCCTATGAGGAGTGTTATTTTTCTGAGACTTTTTAAATGCTAGAAACTCATGAAACAAACTATTAGTAGTGGAATCAGTGGTGACAATTGTGTCATTAGTACTAGTTTGTGTGTTATCAGCAAAGGCAGCATGAGCAGAGTGATTAGGGTGGATTCTAGGACCCCTAGGACCATCCCAATTAGGTGGGTAGCCAATGACCTGAAAACATCTTTCAGAAGGGTGATTATAGCCACAATGGATGCATTTAGGTCTGTCTTTGAAGTATGGAGGTTTGTCTTTGGAAGGTTTGGTGTTGTTTTCTTTTGTGAAATGAGGTTTACTGTTTTTGAAGGAAGAGGGATGAGATTTAGCCAACATAGCAATAGAATCAGTGGTATGAGGATTATTTGTAAGAGACCTTTGGCTTTCTTCCTGTAACAGTAAGGAGTAGACAGTAGATAAAGAGGGAAGGGGTGTGGATAGCAAGAAGTGGCTTCTCAGTGATGAGTAAGAGTCGTGAAGACCAACTAAAAATTTCATAACAGAGTCTTGTTGTTGTGTTGCTGCCAGTGCCTCAAACAAATCACAAGTACAATGCACAAAAGCACCACAATTACATTTGAATAGAGGTCTATATGTCACATATTCATCCCACAGAGATTTAAACAGATTATAATATTGGGTGATGGACAATGACCCTTGACTAATGGTACTCAATGATTTTTCCAACTGAAAAACCCTAGGACCGCTAGACATTGCATAACGAGTACGGATTTTATCCCAGACATCCTTAGAATTAGTAAAAAACAGAAGCGATTGACGGATATATTTAGATATGGAGTTCAGCAGCCAAGAGAGAACAAGATTGTTCGCTCTGTTCCAAGCAAGGTATAGAGAGGGATTACCAGTAGGAGATGGAACGGAGATAGTGCCGTCGATGAAGCCGACCTTATTCTTCACGCTGAGTGCCATGGTGACCGCCCGGCTCCAGGAGACATAGTTGTCGCCGGAAAATGGATCTGCAACGATCAATGCGCCCGGGTTGTCGCTGGCGTGAAGATAGAACGCAGAGGATGGATCATCAGAGGGATTGACAGCCATTTGATTGAGATTAGAGAGCGATCGAGTGATATAGGGTTTCAGATAGCGATCGAGAGCAGTAGACAAGAAAAACAGAACAAAATCAGAGAAAATATGTGTGCGGAAGCGATGAAATGTGAGGATCTTTGGCGAATGATACCATAACAAACTCAAAATACACAGATCAAATCATTGAAGATGAAGAACAGAGATGAAGAACAAACAAATAAGAGAGGAATATTATTGAGAGAAAAGCAAAACGATTTGAAATGTGTAAAGTGAGAATTAGGGTTTGTTGTTGTACACAACACCCTATTTATACTAGAGATCCTACAACTAAAGTTGTCAAACACAAGTGACAACTTATCCTTATTACAAATAATGGAAGGCTAAAATAGTAAAATTACAATTGAAGATACATGTATATTATCAGGATACAGTTCCAACTGCTGACTCGAGCCAGGTATGCTCATACAAATGGTTTCCAAATGCTTGTAGTTTGTCTTCTGACAACTTACTGCTATAAACTATATATAATTTGTGGTGAATTTTTGTGGTCTGTGACATGAGGTTTATGGGCCTCCGTTTTGAATGTTCTCAAATGTCTTGAAGAATTTTATCAATGCTATTGATATGCATTGCATTTAATAACTGAAATAAGCTAATTTTGTCGATAACGATATTTTTATCTCCGAAATGCTGTTGCATCGTAGATTTCCAATCAAAATTAGTATTCGAAGGTTGGGGCAAAGTCGACGGGTCCAATTCCTTTCGATCAGCTCCTTGGTGTGATTGAAATGCTGCCAAGACTTGTGCTCAGGTTTATTTTTCAATTTCAGCTGTTATTATTTGGTTTTGTTTTTTTAGGAATTTCATTCAGTTTTAGTTATTAGTGAGTTAGGTCTAATGCGGTTGTTTAGGAGGGTTTGGTCGGACAAAGGAAAAAATGGTGTTGTGATGTTGCTAGGCTCATATGGTTAAGTTTATAAAGTTTGCTTTTTTTTTTATGTATCCTTCTGTTGTTTTTAGAATAACCGGGGAAGAAATCGAGACTGACTGTTTGATTTTCCACTTTGTACAAGTTCATGAGTCGCTTAATATGTCTATGATTGTTTTCATTTTTATGCAATTTTTTTCTGCCTTGCAGTGTCTGCTCTATGTAAAGCTAGCTTCGACCACTGTCAACGAGTAGCCGAGTCATATTTTTTTGCTTATCTGTTTAGTTTCTTAGTGTTTTTCCCCCATATGTTCTTTTCAAGAATATAATCTTTTGGCATTGTTATTTGACATGTCTTTAGAGTAAACTCTATAAGCTTTCTCTTTGTTCCAGGTCATAATAGAGGCAGTGAATAAGCCTCGGAACATTACCTACAAAATAGGACTCTCTGATTTGGTGACTGAGTAAGACCCTTCTTGTTTGCTATTTGATTTGACGTTTTCTCGGCTTCTGATATGTTCAGGAATTTGCAATGAATGAAGGGTTGTCTGTGATGCAATTTGCTTTTGTGTTTGTAAGAAATATGGGTGTAAATTTAGAAAACCAGTCGAGGACTAGGGCAAGCTGATTTGTAGTGGTCATTTGTCTGGAGTCTGGATAAGAGCAAATTGACTAACAACAACAACAAAAACAACATAGCTTTTTGTCCCAAGCAAGTTGGGGTAGGCTAGAGATGAAACCCAAGAGAACCAATGGTAAGAGATACACAAAAAGTGCTCAAAACAAAAGGAAGAGATTGGAGCAAAAGAGAAAGGAGCAAAAGTCACGGTTCTGGCACGTTGATTACTAGTCTCCAAGCGCTCCTATCCACAGCTAAAATCCTTGGAGACATTTTCAATCTTTAAAGTCTCTCGAGTCTTCCCAAGTGAGTTTTTGCCGATCTCTACCCTCTTTAGATCATTGACCCGCTGTAGAACTCCCCTACGCAAATTGAAAGGGCGGTATTTTCTAGCTCGAAGAGTTTTCAAGCACCGGTGCATAAGGAGGCCTCCGTTGGATATGTCTGAACCACCTCAGCCGATGTTGAACTAATTTCTCCTCAATTGGAGCCACCCCGACCCTGTCTCGAATATCCTCATTCCAGATTCTATCACTTCTTGTGTGCCCGCAAAACCAACGCAACATACGCATCTCTGCTACACTTAGTTGTTGGACATGTTGCCTTTTTGTAGGCCAAAATTCAGCACCGTATAACATCGTCGGGCGAATCGCTGTCCTATAGAACTTACCTTTTAGCCTTTGTGGCACCCTCTTATCACAGAGAACGCCCGAAGCTTGACGCCATTTCAACCAACCGGCTGCAATTCTATGACAAGAGCAAATTGACTACTATTATATACTTTTTTTCTTAAACTCCAACTTATAATAATTATCTGATCTTTGTTACCATGTAATTTGTTCATTGTTTTGCATTTGATGCATGGATTGAATATTTTATAATGCAGAGCAGATAAAATGAGTGAGGCTGCTATTCTAGATGTTGTGAGAAATAATTTCCCGGGCCACCTAATTCTTGAGGAGGAAGGTGGGCTCATAGGAGATACATCTTCACATTGTCTTTGGTGCATTGATCCCCTAGGTAAAACCGTAAAAGTACCTCTCAACCTTTTACTTTACTATTTATTTATATCCCTTTGTTGTTGTGAGTTTCAAAATTATTGTTCAACATGTATAATTGCACAATTTGTAGATGGCACGACAAATTTTGCTCACTGTCGTTCGAGCTTTGTCGTTTCCATTAGAGTCCTTTACACAGGAAAACCAGTTGTGGCTTATGTGGTATCTAAGCTCGTGATTTGTATAATTTGTATAGTTTACAAAAGGTTTTCGTTTATCTCATGAGCTGGAGAATGAAGATTTGCCTTTGTTTGCAGGTGGAGTTTCTCGGTGGACCTAAATGTTGGGATACTCGGACTTTAATTGCAGCTGTCGGTAAAAGACTCTTTAATATACTTTTTTTTTTAAATTCTGTTTTTGTAATGAAATTATTCAAAGCCTCTTCCCTTGCTTTCAGCAGCAAAAAGAGAAAGAGGATGTTGACCTATCAGTGCGAGAGAGACAGTTATTCAATTTTCCATTGTCGTTGGGTGCAATGGCATTTTGTACTTCACCCCAACTGATCGCGAAACAAATTGTGGTAAAAATATATGTGAATTAAGCTTTACTATTTCATTTAGCTCATTTTTCGATTTTGTAATCTGATTTTAATTACTAAGTTTTACAAGAAATTATCTTCAATGATTGCTCAACTTTTTTGTTCACTGGTATTTGCTTCCGATTATATGGATTTGACTTGATCTCATATGTAACTGCACATTACATTGCATGTGTTTGATGAAATAGCTAATTGTGCTCTTTATTGATAATAGCTCAGGCAAAGGTTAATTGTATTGGGCCTCGATAAATCTTTCTAGTTGAAAACCAGAAACCAAGGAATTTGTTGGTATATTTGCCTTAAAATTGAATTCAGTTTCATACTATTTTTTCTTAAATTCTTGACTGCAAATTGATTTTATGTGGGTGCTCAACTTACATTGATATTGTGATGAGGTTTGGTTGAGTTATCAATCGTAAGTTGTTGTCTTTTTGTAATAACCTCCAAGATATGATGTTACTTGCTCCAGAACATAAATGGTGCTACAGAACTTTAAACTGAATCTTCTTTTTCTTTTTAGTTCAACAATGAGATCAAATCAAAGGAAATGATTTGGAAACATAAGGTACTAAATTTTTAGACGAGAAAAAGGATCATAATAACAAGATTAAGACTTACGGGGAAGACAATGGGTATTCTTCAAAGCACTGGTCATGAAGTTGAAAGGGTTCATTTAATTGTAGTTTATTTGTAGCTAATCAGTTTTTCGCTTATGCTTATTATAGTTTCATTCCGATCCATTGTTGCTCATCCATATAACAACTTGGTACAAGGATTGTTCATGTTGTTCTTATTCTGGGTGTTGGGTTACTATGTGCGTATGAACTGTGTGCCGTCTATGTGGCCAAGTTTTACTGATCTTGTTTTCGGCGATGTTTCTCCAGCTGCTGACGAGAAGCGACAACGATGTGCTGGAGCAGAAAGTCTATGCGGAGGACAATAGTGGATGATTCTTGCAAGCACTCCATATTTATTTGTTATAGAAGAGCGGTACGTGGAAAGCCCTCCATATTTATTTGTTGCAGGAGAGCGGTATGGGACAAAAATGTAGATCTTTGTAAAAAATCTAACCGGCAAGACCATCACGCTCGAGGCCGAATCAAGCGACACAATAGACAAGAAAAACAACAAAGGTTGAATTTTTATTTGGTGTTTTAGAATAAATTTTTGCGAACTTCTGCATTTCTGCTCCAAGGATTTTTTGGTAAACCAAAAACTTTCTTTTTGGAGCCTTTTGTGATTGGTTTATATCTTATCATGTTGTGGGTCTTCTACCTTTGTGATGAATTCCTATTAATTCTACCATTGTGATGATTCGTATGAAGTAATTTTAAGCAACTTTTAGGAATGCTAGCAAATGTATGAATGTGTATTTTTCGAGTGTGGAAAATATGTATAAGGTTGGACTCTTTTTTAACAACATTTTTTAGGTTAGGGAAAAAACACTATTTTATTTTAGAATTATGGACTAAACTAGGACCAGTTGTGCTTGCACAGCCAAAGTACCACTAGTATATATACATGTGTGTAAATTATGTTGACAAATATATATATATATATATATATATATATATATATATATAGAGAGAGAGAGAGAGAGAGAGAGAGATTGGTTCAAATGAAGACACATTCTTAAAGTGGGAATGTGAGACTGATTCCTAACCACTAGTTTGATACAAGATGTGTGGCCAAGATTTAACTTTTTATTTAAATAATAATTTCTTATTTTAATTATTTAATTCTGTATTTTTATTATTTTAATTATTTAAATATTATTTTGACAATTGACCGTCGACTTCGGCGTTTACCGTTGACTTCAGCGTCGACCGTTGACTTCCGACGTTGACCTTTGACTTCCGGTATTGATCGTTGGCGTCAGGTGTTGACCGTTGACCCCTAGTATGCATTATGTATGAAGTAAATATACATCCAGTATTATGCACTTAATATGAACTAAATATGCATAAGATATGAATTATATATGTAATGCTTATGAACTAAAGTTGTGAACCTAATAATTATTCTCTCGTTTGGGAGCGATCCACATTCTCTCAGCTGAGAGCGATTCGTATTGGTCATCTTCTTCCTTCCGATCTTCTTGTTCTTTGTTCAGTTTAATTCTCTTTTCTCCATTTTCTTTCTTGGCTGGGAGGGTCGATTCCTTGACTCTTTCTTCTTTTCTCTTCTAGGGTTTCTATGGGTTCTTCTAACTGTGTAGGTCAGGATGAGGAACTTGCTCATAAATTGCAGAGTGTGTCCTTGCTCTCATAGGAACATTCGTTCATCGATCTCGGTAAAAATGATATCAAAATTAGTATGGACGAATGCAACCGGAGTCTATTCGGGAAGATTATTGGTGACAGATCCACTAGTTGGATCGGAGTTAAAAGAGCTATGAGCCGAATCTGGAGACTCAGCCAGCCGATGGAAATTAAAGAGTTGGGAACCAACTATTACCAGTTCATCTTTGAAAGCAATGAAGACAAAGTGAAAGTGGCTAAAGGTATCAACTGGACGTATGATAACCAGTACCTTATTCTCTCAGAATGGAAAAGAGGTCTCACAATCAACCATTCCACTTTCAATGAACTTAATCTCTGGGTTCAAGTGTTCAATATCCCTCTCGATTGGCTCAGCACTGAAGTGGGGTTGAAGATTGGAATGGTTTTTAAACAAGTGCGGAATGTGGTCATTGTTGGAGCAGGAAGCCATGGAGGTAGAATTATGAGACTGCTAGTTACAGTGGATCTAAAGGAACCTTTGCCCAGGTGTGCGAACTTGAGGTTGGAAGATCAAACTGTCAGCGTAGGATTCAAGTATGAGAAGCTTGTTAATCTATGTCATTACTGCGGCTTTATAGGGCACTTGGATAGAGCTTGCTCGCATAGACTTGATGATATCAAACACCACTCTCTTCAGGAAGGCCAGTACGGGCTTGGATGTGAGCAACTGATTACAATCGATGGGCGGGGCACAACGCTCCTGGTTCAGAAAGTCCTTCTCGCACTGGCAGTCCAACATCCCAGACGCAAGCTGACTCTCAAATACCTATAGCTAAGCCTCCAGGGAATGAATGCAGCAAAATCCTATCGATTGAAGGCACCCCTTCCCAGAAGAATGGTCAAGACTCGGAAGCTTCTACATCCCAGCCAGTTAAGACTCTCTCCAACGTATGTGCGCTTCTTCTTCAAGGTACCCAGAACACTCCCATTATGTTTACTGAGAATATTGCACCTACAAAGTTGGATATCACTTCCAATATAAATATGGAAGTGGAACACATACTGATGGAGGCTAGGAATGAGAATTCTCTTCCAATGTCTGATGTTAGTAAATCCAGCTATAAGCCTAAACTCTGGAAGAGAATTGATTCCAAAATGGGGAGGTTGGAGAGACAATCTTCTCCTCCAGCTTTACAAGGTGATTTCTCTCCATTAAAAGGCCAAGGGGCTCAGATTCTATTGAACAGGAGGAGGAAATAAATCAGATCCAAATTCTTGAAGAAAACAAGAGACAAAAGACTGACTCACAGAAGGTGGGGGTTGCCAGCCTCGAATGGCACCCGAGTGAAAAATGCTAGCTGCGGTGTGGAACTGTAGAGGGCTGGGTGGGCCCTCTACAGTTTCCCAAATCCGAGAGACCATCAAGGCTCATCACCCAATTTTTTTCTTCATTTCTGAAACAAAAAAAAAAAAAATTCTGCATTTGTTAATTCTGTTAGTAAGAAGTTAGGCTATGATAATAGGAGGGCTATTGTTGATCCTCAAGGGCTCAGTGGAGGTCTTCTCCTTCTCTGGAATTCCTCAGTTACTATTCATCAAGTTATTTGTCAAGACTTTTTCATTGCTACTGAATTCCAGCTCCCACAATCTGATAAACAGTGGGGTATTTTTGTGTACATGAGTACCTGCAGGATTAATAGAGCTATTCAATGGGATACTCTGGAGTCTATGAAACCTTCATGGGGACAGAAATGGTTTGCCGCAGGGGATTGGAATGATATCTGCTCAAATGCTGAGAAAATAGGGGGTGTTATCAGAAATAATTCCAGCTTCAAAGGGTTCAATTCTTTCATAAATAACATGGAAATAGAGGAAGTCCAAATGATTGGCTATCAATATACCTGGTGCAATAACAGGAATGCTGAGGATGTTGTGGAAGAAAAATTGGGCAGAGTTTTTGCCTCTGTGGACTAGATGGTATCTTCTCCAAATGCTAAAGTTCTGAACATTGTGAAAAGCTCCTCAGATCATTCTCTGCTTATTCTTAATTCAGGAGATCCAAGTGCTAAGCCTCCTAAGAAATTCTCTTTTGATAAAAGATGGATAGGCATGGCTGGATTCTCTGAAACAGTTCAGAGGGCTTGGAAATCATCGGTGCAAGGAACTCCTTTCTTCAAACTTAAAGAGAATGTCAAACTCACCAGGGTGGCTCTTCTCCAATGGAGCTCTTCCTTTCACACCAAAAATCAGCTTCTGATCCAATCTCTTACTCAGAAACTGGAAGATCTCAGAGCAAATAAGACCTCCTCTAATTGGAATGACTGGGAGAGAACTAGGAAAGACCTCAATTCAGCTCATCACTTTGAAGAACTCTTCTGGCAGCAAAAATCCAAATTCAAGTGGCTCAAAGAAGGAGATGGGAACACAATATTTTTCCATGCCTTTGTCCAGCACAGAAGGAAGCTAAATGCAATCACCAGATTGGTCTCTGCAAGGGGGGAGGAATTTTTCACTCAAAATGACATGGAAGACCACATATCTGATTTTTACTCTCATCTCTTTACATCTGAAGGGACTCTAGGGGGTGAAGCTATTATCCATCTGATTCCTAAAACAATAACTGAGGATATGAATCAAGTTCTTACTCAACCGGTGGATGCTGCTGAGATTAAATCTACTCTGTTCAGCCTTGATCCTTGCAACTCCCCTGGTGAAGATGGTATGCATGCTATGTTTTATCAGCATTTTTGGGATTTAATTCAAGATGATTTTGTTTCTGCAATCAAAAGCTTCTTTCAGTCTAAACAATTGTTGCAGTACTGGAACCATACAATTCTTTCATTGATCCCTAAATGCTCTCTGCCTGAATCTCTAAGTCAATTTCGTCTTATTAGCCTGTGTATTGTTGTCTACAAAGTGCTTTCCAAGATTCTTGCTCTTAGACTGAAGACTTGCTTACAGTCCTGCATTAGCATATATCAGTCTGCCTTTCTGAAAGAGAGGCAATTGCTAGACAATGTGATTATCGCTCAGGAAGCTTTCCACTATCTGAACAGACTTTCCTCAGGCAAACATCATTTTATGGCCATTAAACTTGACCTTATGAAAGCATTTGACAGAGTGGAGTGGCTTAGCTTGCAACAGATAATGATCAAAATGGGTTTCACTAATGAATTTGTGAAGCTAATTATGGTCTGTATTTTCTCCTCCACTATCTCAGTCAAGGTCAATGTCAATGTTTCAGGCTACATTAAACCATCCAGAGGCATTAGACAGGGGGATCCTCTTTCCCCCTTTCTTTTCATCATTATGGCTGAATTGTTATCTGCTCTAATTATTGATGCTGTGAACTCTGTCTGTGGCAGGGACTGAAACTCTCTAAGAATGGTCCTCTTCTTTCTCATCTGCTCTTTGCAGATGACTCATTATTGTTCTGTAAGGCTGATGCTCACCATGCTGGTATTCTGATGGATATCTTGTAAAAGTACAAGCTCTTTACTGGTCAAGCAGTGAATCTCCACAAGTCTGCTGTTTTCTTTAGCAGGAATTCTCCAGCTCATGTTAAATCCAGAGTATGTTCAGTTTTGAGTGGTATCACTTGCCACAGATCCACCAGATACCTGGGATTACCACTTGGAATTGACAAATCCAAGAAAGAGGTATTCTCATATTTAGTGGATTCTATCAGGAGCAAACTTCAAGGCTGGCAGTCCAAACTTCTTTCTTCTGCAGGTAAAGAAACTCTCCTTAAGTCTGTGATTCAAGCTCTTCCAATATTTCCTATGTCATGTTTCTAGCTTCCTCTAACCCTTTGCAAAGAAATTTCCAGTCTCTGTGCCAGATTTTGGTGGAATTCTAAGGATGCTGACTCAAGTTGCATTTTCTGGAAAAGCTGGTACAAAATGGCTCAGCCAAAACAGAATGGAGGTATGGGATTTCTTGATATCCAGCTTTTCAATGTAGCCTTAATTTGCAAGCAACTTTGGAGAATTGTCTCTCAGCCTGATCTCCTTGTCAGCAAAGTCTTGAAAGATAGATATTTTCCAAATTCTTCCATCCTTCAGGCTGTTAAATCTCAAAAATGCTCTTGGTTATGGAGCTGTTGGCTTGATATTCTGCCTACCTTCTCTAAATGGCTTATGACTGAAATTAGAGGTGGAGCTGAGACTAGAATTGAAGAGGATAACAGGATTCCAAACTACTCTAAAACCAAGCCAGCTCTTTTGAACCTTGCCAGGGGTCATCTCATCTTTGTCAAGGATCTTATTCTTCCTGATGGCCTAAACTGGAACCAATGGCTTGTGAAGCAAGTCTTTTCTGAAGAGGATAGCAATGCCATTTTGGCTATTTTTTCCCTGAGGCCAAATTCCAAAGACAAGTTATATTGGAGTCTAGACAAGAAAGGAAAATTTTATGTCTCAAGTATATACTCTCACTTAGCCAATCAGAAGGTGCATTTAATTGATCAACCAGAAAGCAGTAACTCAAGAATGCAATTGTCTAAATCTCTGACAAGAAGCTAGTCACTCAAGATTCCAGGTAAGATCAAAATATTCATCTGGAAATGCCTCACTGGTTCTTTGCCCACTTTGCTTAATCTAAAAAAGAAAGGTCTATCTATTGACACTATCTGCAAATGCTGTGGAGATGGGCATGAATCAATAGAACATCTGTTGCTGGAGTGTAATCGAGCTGTTAGATTATGGGAGATTGCTCATGTTTCTTGGAGGGGCATTATCCATCATTCTGACTCTTTCAAAAACTGGTGGAATCAAATCTGCTCTCTATCTTCGTCTGAAACATCTAACTTCAGGATCCAACTCACGACTTATTTGCTATGGTGGATGTGGAAGACTCACAACCTTCAGCTTTTTCAGCAAACTCTGGTCCCAATCCATCTGGTAGTCAAGGCTGCTCATTCGGACTGGATGGATTTTTGCAAGGCTAAGAATTCTTTTCATGGTTTTGCTCCAGTTAGTTAAGTGTTTGTGCTGTTTTTTATTTTGGTTTTTCTTTGGGAAGAAGGCTAGGCCGTTGGGCAGTGGTTCGTATTCCTAAAGGTTTTGCTTTTTGTTTGTTGATGTGAGGTTTTAGGCCATTTGTTAATGTGCCTCTAAGTTTGTCTTTGTCTTGTGGGACTTGTTCCGGATTGCATTGTACATTTTTTCCTGATTTTATATAGCATTCTATCGTTTCGACCAAAAAAAAAAATGCTTATGAACTAAATATGCACCAATAATATCAACTATATATGCACTGTTTATGTACTAAATATGCACATTTTACTAACTAAATATGCATCAAGAATGAACTAAATATGGAATAAAATATACATTTTATATAATTAAATTAAATATAATAATAAATGATTTTATTATGTAATTAATTTTAATTTTAAAACCGTTAATATAAGTTATTGATCTATACAAATAAATTGTTATGATTGGATCTCACATGAACTAAATATGCATTTCGTAAGAACTATATTTGTGTAGATCAATAACTTATATTAATCAATTTAAATTTGATTTACTTATATAATAAAAATCAATAAATTATTGTATTTAAACTAAATAAATAAATGCACATTTTATGCATTTTCGTTGCATATTTAGTTCATAACAGATGCATATTTAGTTCATAACATGTGCATACTTAGTTGATATTATTGGTGCATATTTAGTTCATATGAATTGCATGTGCAATTCATACCCCATGCATATTTAGTTCATATTAAATGCATGGTACTGGATGTATATTTACTTCATACATATTGCATACTAGGGTCAACATGACAACGCAGGAAGTCAACGGTCAACACCGAAAACCAACAATTCTCGCCGGAAGTCAACGGTCAACGCCAAAGTCAAATTATAATTATATTATTATTTAATTAATTATTATTTAAATTGATTAAAATGAATACTTGATATAGACAAAATGAGTGGCTAAGATTGAGTCTCACGTACTCATTTTAAGGAGTGGTCTCATTGGATCCACCCTATATA